GCCACCCCAGGTTGATGCTACAACCTGGGATGGCCATGGTGATGTGGTGCTGTCCTGCAGACAGTGGTCCCCAAGGATGCACGTGCCACGTGTGTCCACGGCCACTGCAAAGGAGGAAAAGGGGGAAACACAAGAGGGATGGAAATGGGGTGTGAGTGGGGGGAGAGGAGGGCAAAGGGGGTCCCACGTGTCAAACACTGACAGGGGTTGAGTCTCTGTGCAAAGCCAAGTCCTGGGAGAAGCTGGGCAGGGCTAGAAGACCACGGACTGCAGGAGACGGAAACACATCATCAGGTCCAAGGGGATGGGGGGTTTCAGGAGGTTCCCATCCAGCCGCAGGTACCGGAGCCGGGGCACGCTATCCAGGTCAGAGGGGGAGAAGTCCTGGATGGACATCAGTGAGGTGGGGCAGATCTGTGTCCCGTTGATTTCTGCAGGGAGGAGAGGGAAATTTATTTATTTTTTTTTACACTGAGGGTGGTGAGACACTGGCCCAGGTTGCCCAGAGAGGTGGTAGAAACCCCATCCCTGGAAACATTCAAGGTCAAGTTGGACGGGGCTCTGAGCAACCTGATGTGGTTGAAGATGTCCCTGCTCACTGCAGGGGGGTTGGACTTTGAAATGTCCCTTGAATCCAAACCAGTCTGGGATTCCGTGATTCTATAAAAGCAGGATGCAGGTTAGAGGAAAGGGAAGGCAGAGAGGGATGCTAGAGACTCCCCTCCCTGCCTGCCTGTCTGTTGATCCCCAAAATGGGGTTGCTTTGCTACCGAGGGGCAGAATCACCAGCCTCTCCCAGAAGACAGCACAGCCCCAGCAAGAGGAATCTCTTGCTTTTGTTGAGAAATTAAGTAGGTCACGTTCAGCCAAAGCACGGTGAGGGATGCACTAGCATTTCAGAGAGAAAAGGGATCATTTCAAACATGAAACCTGCCAAGCCAGCCCTAAGACTTCAAAAAACATCAAGGAAATGTGCTCCAGCACCGTTACGCTGAGGATAAAGTCGGTAACTGGCTTGTTGCTCACTTCTGAATTTCCACGCGTATCTCCCCATCCCAGGGCTCGCATTATAGAAAATAAACCCAGGGATTCTCATGCTCTTATCCAACTCCAGCGACTGAAACCTTCTCAAATCTGGGTAAAACAGGCAAAAGGAAAAGCTGGGACATGATGTGCACAGCCAGGTGGCATCTCTCCATGGAAAAGAAATTGCCCAGAGAAGCTGTGGCTGCTCCTCCCTGGAGGTGTTGAAGGCCAGGCTGGATGAGGCTTTGAGCAACCTGGTCTAGTGGAAGGTGTCCCTGCTGATGGCAGGGGGGTTGGGACTGGATGAGCTTTAAGGTCCCTGCCAACCCAAACCATTCCATGATTCTACAAAAGCCCTAACAGGACCTGGGCACCAGCATGTGTGAAGCCAGCAGCGGTCACTACCTTTACCCCAAGGTCCCCCTGGGCTCCAGTTTGGTGGTGTTGAAATAAAACACAGATTAATGACCATCTGAAGCAGACATCCATCACTGCATCGTTACTCCCTGGGAACTGACTCCTGAGAGAAGGGATGTGGCTTTGTGAAGGTTTTGTCTTTCTCCTTGGCATTGCATCCCACAGCACCACAGCATGGAAGTGCTTGTGTCACACCGCTTGTGGGGACCAGCGTCCTGCCCAGTGGCTGCTTCACAGGCGAGCAATGCCCTGGGTGGGTCCTACAGCCCCCAGACACCCCACTGCAGCCAGAAATTGAGGAGCCCACTATAGAAGAGCCCACCACCCTTTTCTTGGTGCACATGGAGGTTTTCTGGTAGGAGCACCTCATTCTTGCTCCCCTATGAATAGCAAAGACAGCAGATTGCTGGACCTCTGATAGTAGAAACATCTGGGGGTGACCTGGAATGGATCTCTGTCTTTCTCTCGAGTGTGCTAGCTGTGTTTACACATTTCACAGGTCAGCACCTCTCCCAGGAAATTGCAATGCTTTGCTTGGAATGGTGTGAAACTGCCCCGGTTGGTTTGCCAAGGCAACCTCCATCACAGCCTTGTTCTCCCTGTTCCTTCCTCGGCGAGGCTCAGCTCGGGAGCTGAGCTGGGTTATTTCTAACCATCTTGACTGCGTATTTGGCATCTGCTCTTAAAATATGTGCACAGATTCTCCTTTTAAAATATCCTTATTTCTGAGCCCTGCTGGGGAAGTAACTATTGAGATGGCAGGTGGCCCTGAAGAAGAGCTGCCCATGACAAGGAACAAAAAAAGTCCTGCAGCACTAAGGGGAATTTAGCTCTGCTCCTCAGCTACCACCCTTCTCCTTCCCCACGTGCAAATCCATCCCCTTTAGGAGCTTGTTCACCTACAAAGAGCTCCCAGCTCATGTCACCACTGCATCCCTCTTAGAAGGGTTCACATCCCATTGGGTGAAAAATGTCCTTTTTTAATGAAACCCTTGTCATCTCCAAGCCCATCTGCTGCCCAACAGACCTCACCTACCAGCCAGTGCAACTCACTTTCAATGGAGTTATTATTTAGGTAGAGGTGCTCCAGCTTGGGGCTGATGAAAGGGACGTTGGTGAGCTTGTTGTGGGCCAGGTGCAACACCAGCAAGTTGGTGAGGTTGAAGGAGTTCTTGGGGAGCCCCTTGTCAGAGATCTGGTTGTAGTTGAGCCGGATGAATGCCAGGTTGGGGAACTCTTTGAAGTAGTCACTGGGGATGTCCTCAATATTGTTCCTGTCCAGGAAGAGCTGGTGGATGGCACTGGGTACCCCAGGAGGCATTTTCCTCAGGATGTTGTGGGCAAGGTTGAGTTGCATGAGGTTCTTGAGTCCCTTGAATGTGTTTTTGTTGAAGACACCATCGCTTAGCTTGTTGTGGTGCAGGTCCAAGAGCACCAGGTTCTCCAGCTTGTTGAAGACTCCAGCAGGGATCTTGGAGATCTGGTTCCTGCTCAGACGCAGCTGCTCCAGGTTGGGTGGCAGGAAGGAAGGCACCTCCTTGAGCTGGTTCTTCTCCATATAGAGGAAGATGAGGTTTTCCAGCTTCTCCAGGACCCGCCTGTCTACTTTCCGGATGCGATTGTTGTCTAGGTTGACCCATTTCAGCCCCGTGGCGTTCCTGAAGGACTCCTCTGGGAGGTCGTCAATGAAGTTGTTCTGGAGGTAGAGGTAGTGGATGCGGGACGGGATGATGGGGACCTTCCGCAGGTTGCGGCTGTCACAGTAGAGAGCTGAGGGGAAGTCTGGGGGGCAGTAACATTCTCGGGGACAGTCAGGGAAGATGGAGGGAGGACCTGGTGGGAGGGGTGGGGGAAGCTCTGTGGGCTCAACGGGTTCAATGAACTCAGGAGGTGGGCGGGTGGGTTTCCGGGGAGGCTTCCTCCGCTGCCCGCTCACCTCCGAGATCAGCACAAGAACAAGTGGGAGAAGCAAGCTGAAGGCCACCTTCATGGTCCAGATGTTTCCCTGAGGGAGACAACAAGAAGAGGTGGGTTAGGAAGCGCCTGATTTGGGTACCACATGTTCTCCCATCTCTCCCATCACTGGTGTTTCTGAGAGGCAGGAATTCACCCCACATCCCTGCCAGGAACCTGCTATTTTCTCTCCTTCCCCTTGGAAGTCATCTTTAAATCCAAGCCCTCTCCAGACCATGAGTCACTGAGATCCCCTTTCTTTTTTCATTTGGTGTAGGATTTTTCACACATCACCCCCAGCACTGCCCCACAGAGCCTGGACCCCCCCTGCCCCGGGAGTCCCAACACCACTGCATCTTCTCCCCAAAGGATGGATTGCCTCTTCAGAGACCTTGATGGATTAGGCTTAATTTTGCACTTGAGCCAAAAAATCAATGATTCAGTAGCAGATTGGATGAGGAACAGTATCTGGAAGCCAACAGCAGTTAGTGGGGCAGCAAAGATGGATGGTCCTGTGCTTCAGGGATGAGGCTTTAATGCAGGACAGCCCATTTTCAAGGGCGTGTAATAAAAAGGGTATTTGCAAGATTATACTTGGGAAGGTGTTTGGCTCTATGGCTTCCTGCCCTGTCTAAATAAAGGATCCATCACCTCCAGTCCCACTGCAGGAAGGGCTGGGATGGTTATATGGGGAGAGTTCCAGTGGAAGTGGGAGATCTGGAGGGATCAGTCAAGGTCTCTGCTTGCCCTTAACCAGAGAGATTCTCCTGGACATCAACCCAACACCTTACACCTCTCCCTCTTCTCTGAGTGGTTATCAAGCCCATGGAGGCTGCCTGTCCCATTTCTGCCCTCCCTGCTGCTGTCTGGAACAGCAGCAATCATCCCTGCAAGACTTGCTGGTAGCTCTCCAGCTGACAACTTGGAGGATGGAGGGATCCAGCTGGTTACAGAAGAGTTCCTCAGAAAGCCCCATTCAGAAGGTGCTTTGGATGCTCCAACACTCCCCAGGGCCAGATGGAGCAGGCCAGGCTGTTGGGTTCCTGGGCAGATACCTTGGGGTGTTTGCCAGACTTTTCCCAGCGGCATTTGTCACCCCAGCCAGGAACAGAGCCAAGCTGGATGCATGGTGAGGCAGATGGAGGAGGCAGGGTGGGAATGAGAATCAAGTGAGATGAGACAGGAAGGAAGAGGGAAGATGAGGAGGAGAGGAAGATGGGGAGGCTCAGAGGAAGATGGATCTCCTGGGGAAATGGAGCATCTGCCATGGGAGCCAGTGCTGCAGGGATGGGATCATGGGGCAGAAGATTTTGGTGATGGTGGAGCTGGTGATGCTGATGCTGAGAGAAATCAGGGTCTCTTGGTGCATCGCTCTCTCTCCCATGCAACATGACAGGTCATTGGCAGTGTGGGCACAGCCAGTCCCACTCCACTCAGTGCTGGTGGGAGCTGTAAATGGGCAGACACGTCCCCAACCCTCATCTGACCAGCAAGCAGCATGGCCAACACTGCTGGGGTAGCTCCCTGCCACACCAACCTCCTTTTGCTTCCAGCTTCCCACCAGATCCACATCCCACCCAGGGATGCCTTCAAAGCCCCTTGATGGGCCACTGCTCCCAGGGCCACAGCAGCCCAGCTCCCTTTGAAGCCATCCCAACATCCCACGCATTCCTGGGGCTCCAAGTAATTGACTTTCTCCAAGAAAAGATCCTGTTCTCTCCCCCTGCTCCAGGCCCAGCCTTTTACTTTCCTTTTTGTCTCTCTTGCTCCCATCTGGCTCTGTTTAACCCCACCAGTCTCACACGCCTGCTGTTTTCAATCAGAGCTCTGGCATCTCACTGGGGGAAGGGAGGAACAAGGGAAGAGCAATGGGGCCTGAATGCTGCCAGATATTCAGCTCAGCAGTGCTGCAGAAGGTCCCCTTTGGGGATGTACGTGCGTGCTTCTGTCTTGTAAGAGTTCAGATTCAACAGCAGGCTGCAGAGAACGGACAAATTCGTGACAGGGAGCTGCTCTACGTGCAGTCCCCTCCCTGGCCCTCCAGCACCCCTCTCCTTTCCCAATCACATCTGTCCTTAATCTTGGCTCTCCCCCTACCTCATCCCAGACCTTTCCATGGGTTTTTTGCCTCCACTCCAAAACTCAGACCTGGATTTTTACACTCACAACACCCTGGGAGAGCAGCGAGGGCTGAGGTCTGTGTTTGGCCCATGGTAGAGGGGAGGAGGTAGCTGGGACATGATATTCCAGCCAGAACACACTGTGATCCAGGCGTTGGG